ACAAAAAACAAAACAAAAAAAAAAACCCCACAACAAAAAGAGTCCTTTTATCCTCTGCTGGTCTTTGAGGAAATTAAAGACTAAAATGGTCTGTCTGGCTGTTCTCCAGTGATTAGGTGTTGCTTTGGGAATCCAGCACCTCACCACCGTGCTCTTGCAGCCTGGTCCTAGTCAGCCATTTTGTTGCCTGGCAGTAGCCTATAAACTACTTTTAGTTTTCATGTCTACAGACCTTAAAGGGGTCTACCTGGTACCTTCCTGTCCTCCATTTGCCTTTGTTTATCCAGCACAGCAGCACTGGCTTCAGTCAGCCCAGGAAGACATAGTCATCCCAACTGCACAGAGCTCTTTAAGGGTTTCCAAGGAGCAGAAGGGCTAAAGAATGAGTAAAGCTGTCTTCCTGCACTGAGCTCAAGAGAATAAGATGTGAGGGAGGCCCTGCTGTTGTTTAATATTTACTAAAAGCCCACACAGCTCTAATATACATGAGGACAAAATTATGGTATGATCTTTAGCCTCTGGGGGCCTGGGATGGGTCTTCATGAAAAGCTACAGTGCTAGCTTCCCACAGAAGCAGAGCAACAGTTTAGGAACAGCACACCATTAGTGACTGGCTGGTGTAATTGCACTTAGCAAGCAGAGCTTTTCAGCAGGATGGAGAGGCACTCCTTGTTCTCTGCTCTGGGGCCCTGAAGCACAGATTCAGGCTCATTTAATGCACTTATTACACCATAATTATCATGATTTGTTTGTTGATTGTACAAATATTTGCTGAGTGCAGCCTACTACGTGTCAGGCACAAATCAGGCACTTAACTGTTAGTAGAATGACAAAGGGAACCTTACTCAGCCTGAGAATGCATTGTGAGTATGTTCATGTGTAGGGGGCATAAGTGTGGGATTAAAAAAAAAGGTGTTGCTTGAGCTAAATTTTGAAATATGAGTGGGAGTTACCCTAGTGGATAAGGGAAAAAAAGCATTCCAGGAAGAGGTAAAAGCACATGCCAAGGCATGGAGCTATATGGGGATTCCATCATGGCTTAGATGGTATGAAGCCAGCCGGGTGCTGAATATAAATAGGTGAGGAAACCTGCCTTGACATAAGAATCAGTCCAGAGAACTGGTTTGAGATAGTATGCTTAAGATACTTGTTTAAAAGGGAATATAAATCTGATTTCAGGGACAAAAAAGAACAGAGTATTGGATTTTCTGAGGCTAGGAGGCAAGGTAGCCCTGGTAAGTCTCACAGATGACGAGTGATTGCATTGCTTGGCCTTTGGACCCAACAGGAAACTCCTCTTCATAGCCTAAGAGCTGGTAAGAGGTGTGAATCATTAGGATTTTTCCTCTGGGAGACCCAAAGCCTGATTAGAAGGCTAAAAAAAAAAAAAAAAAAAAAAAAAAAAAAGAAGGAAGGAAGGAAAGAAGAAAGGGGGGGAAGGAAGAAAGGAAGGTAGGAAGGAAAGAATAAAGGGTGGGGAGGAAGGGAGGGAGGGACGGAGGCAGGCCAGTTAGCCTATACACTTGTTTTAGTGAGAAGACTCCAGTAAGATGAAACATTTCTCAAACCAGAGAGCATATACCTAAAAGGGCTTTGTAAATCGTAACACGTTATTCAAATATAAGATAGTGTCATGATTATCATAAGAAACCAAGAGTGTGGCCAGGTTACTCAAAGCATATGGATGAAAGTAATGTGTGTAGGGCAACGACAGGGGAGCTAAGAACGGAGCTGCTGGAGGCGGCACAGAACAACAGTTGCATTTCAGTGACGCCTGGAAAAAGGCATACTCTACATTAATTCCTGTGGATAATCTGTAAAGCTGTAATTTTCCCCTTAGTTTTCTTACTCTTTATAGTAAACGATTAGAGAAATGCAGACTGATTCTTTGCAAACTCCTCAAAGGCAAGGAATTCTAATATTTACCCAGCATAGTGCTTGGCAAGTAGGTAGCACTTGGTAAATACATGTGATTCTCTGAAGGGATTCCTGGAAGGGGAGGAAGGATGGAGGGAGATGTTATAATGGAAAAAAAAATCATGTCTCCGGCTGGACATTGATGGTCTTGGTTTCTTGGTCCAAAGCTGGTAAGCAATTCCTGTTAGAGCTAGTCATTAAGATTGAGGGGTAGAGCGGATAATAATAGTCCCATCAGAAATGAATAAATCAATATGGGAAATGAAGGTAGCAGAAACCAAGAGCACTACTGGAGAAAAGCACGTGGGACTGGAAGATAACAGATTCTGTAGCTAAAAGAAAGAAAACTATTTGCATAAGTATGATCCACTTAGAAACAGGTGTACTGGGGAATAAAATACAGGGGGTATGGGGAATGGGTTGGGGAATGTCCTATTATTCATGGTCCAGGAAAAAGAACCACTGTCAAAAAGATGGCAAATGTGTGAGGAAGAAAATCATAAAAACGTGGTCAGAGAAGATTTGGAAGATTAAAGGCTGAAAAATCCAGGCATATTAGTATACACTCAAGTGAAATTGGTTGAGCCATTCTTTCCCCTTTTGTTTCCCTTTGTAGAGACTGGATTTTGTTTTGTTTTGCTTTGAGAGGATTAAGACACCTGGTTACATCCTTCACACCTACTCTAGAATGGTTTGATATGCAAACTCACGCTGTGATTAGGGGATAGTTAGTATTCTTAGACAGTGATACCCAAAATCCAATATTTGGGGAGCACCTGGAGCATCTAGCAACTTTTCTGGGGTTATGAGTGGGTATGACACCAAGAGCCCACAATGAAAAGACCAGTTTCGGAATAAGACCCTAATGACAAATCTCCGAATCAGAGCAAAGATCACACTTACAGATTGCTTCTTCTGATTTTCTTTAAAAATACATATCCTTGATTATTTTGGTATGTTAAGCTAATGAGATGGGTTTGAACTGAAGGGGAATTATAAACAACTCTGTGGTGGGGAGGTGCTAAACTAATATAAACCTGTTAGTTTATTCCATTGAGCTGTGCAGGAAGTGCCACACCCAGGCCTCAGGCGGCCATCAAGTTAAAAACAAAAGCTAACAATTGACAAACCAGGTGGTTCTGTTCTTTCACAAGCCTGATAGTTCTTCTCACTATGTAACCCCAGGAGCCTGAGAAAGCCACTTCTATTATAGGAGGATGTCACTACGTTTGGCTGGGAGGAAGAAAGGGAAGAGGAACAGGAAAATTCTCAGAATGGCACTGTGGTGAATTCCATTGCTTAGCTTCCTCGCCACTTCATTTTTGTTTTTGGACAAGAAACCTAGAGTCTATCCTTAATCCCAAATTCACATGCTTAGGGCTCAGATGGAATGAAAGCCCTACCACAGCCGAGGGGGCAAGATTAAGGTGCATCACTATATCAGGTGCAGACGGTTTGCACTCCCCACACAAGGTTAAGTCTTCCTTAGTTCTGCACCATCCCCTCCTCATGATGAAGCACTGTGGGGCAAAAATGTCCTGAGTGGTATCTGTGGATCAATGTCTGCTGGTGCATATAGTCAGTTGGCCACAGGACAGCGTGGATCATGCTTCCTAAAAGTGATCCTGTTTTTCCTCTCCCTCAAGAATTCTGTAGCAGGGAGGGTTGTCTCAGGAGACTCCATCCTCTGAAAGGTTCCTCTAAGTTCCCCAGAGCAAGCCCTGTCAAAGACCACACCCAGAGGCCCAGACCCAATTAAGTCCAGAGCCACCCAGAGGCATCTTTACAGTGAGATTGCTGTTGAAGAAGCCACACCCTGAAATCTGGAGATTCAGTGGAAATCAGTTCCTGCAGCAGTCTCATCCTCAATTAAAATGTCCTAATCCACTTATTTAATCATCACATTCGGTGAGCATATAATATTTTAAAGCCCTGTGCTTGGTACCTTAATGCAACATATATAAAAACATACATTCTTGCTTTTGTCTCTCCTTGGTACTTTTTCCCAAATATACTTCAAAAAACAGACTTCATGAGTTTAAGTTTTGTGACCTTGGACAAATTGCTAAACCTGAGTTTAAAGTGACTAGTGTTTAAAAGGAGATAATTTCATAAGGCTGTTGTAAGGATTATATAAGATGTTAAACATCTCTGTTATAGAACTCGACACACTGGTGCTCAAGAATCCTACATATCCTTTCTTCCCTCCTTCTAAGGACTTTCTTTACAGGACCTGCCAGAGTCTGTTGTTCCACCTGAGCTCACTTCTTTCTTCCTCATGGTCAAACCCAGGGATTCAAATCTTTCTTTGCTTCAGAGGCCTCACTTATCCTTCCCTTCCTTGCGCCCTATGCTTTTATAGAAGTTCCTGCCTCCACTAAAATCCAGCTTGCAGCCAGCTGGGTTACCACTAAAAATAAAAATCCTAGTGAGAGCAATGGACAAAGGCAGCAGCTCCACAAGGTCCCCACCTCTGGACCACACTGGAAGGACACAAGTTAGGGCACACTGAGTCTAAAGGGAGGTTAAGGCCAAAGTCCTTTGGGCATAAAGGAAGTTACTCCTGGCCTGGATCCCATGGCAGGATCCTCTCCTCCCAGGCAGAGGTTCCTTTCAGACCTCTAGGGCACCTTCTAAGGTCCTCCTTTACATAGGTTCCTCTGTACGGGTCCATCCCCATCGTGCAGGTTCCCTAGGCTCCCCTGTGGTCACTCCTGTACCCAAACGATCTTCCACTGAGGCAACTCCAGAGGCTACCCTTGCCCTCGCATAGTTAACACAGGCGTCCTCTTTGGGACTGTGCCCTCCGCACCGCGCCTCCCCATGGCAGCAAAGGCAGAGCGAGCCCTGGGAGTCTCCATTCACCCGGGTGGGGGGGGTGCGCTTTATGGGGACGGCTCCCACACAACGCCTAGGGGATCCCCCAAAGGGTGGAGGCAGCAGTCAGGGTTTGTCCATTTACACAGGGACCCCTTGGGGGCGGCTCCCGCACAGCACCTCAGGGACCCCGAGGGTATTCCGCGGCCCGAAGACCCGCCCTGTAGGGTGCCGGCCGGGTCCCCGCCGCCCCCGACCCCGCTTACCGGGACTGTCAGGGTGCGGGACGCGGGTCCAAGACTGGCGGACTACACCGCTGGCCCCCCGCCACCCATGGCCACTTGGAAGCCGGCGTGCCGGGGCCGAGAACCGGGAGCAGGCGGCGCGGGTGGAGGAGCAGGCTGAGGCGGCGGCGCCGGCGCGCGCCTGGAGCACACCCACCCACCCCGCCCTCCGCCAGGCGCAACTGCGGCGCGTGCGCCCGCGCGAGACCCCTCGCGGGAGCGGTGGGTGCGCCCCGCCCCGCCCCCTGCGCCTCGAGGCTGGCCTGGCGGCTCAGCTGGCGATCTCGCAGCGAAATAAAGCGCTGAGGGACCCCGGGAGGACGGCGGCCGGCTCCGGGTAGCCGTCGGTCCGGATGCCAGTGGGCGCCCTCCACCAGTCCCCGGCTCTGCGGCGCGGGAACTGCGCCAGTCCGGCCGCCCGCGGCAAGGTCAGTGTCCTCCGGGGAGGAGGCGTCCCGAGAAGGGGCACGGCCAGAGGCTGAGGTCGCTCCCAGGCAAAGCGTCCTGCCGCCTGCACCTGGTTAGGAAAATGAGAATGACTCATCCAGCGGCCTCGGCCTGGGCTCTGCCTCCCCTGTCAAGACCAGCTATTCACTCAGGAATCCGGGCCCACGACCCTGGCCTCGGGACACTCACCTTTGCAGTACCCGACTACGGAGTGTCTGTCCAAATGAACTATCACAAAATGCTTGGCTGGCCTAACTTTTCCTGAGGTGTTTTCTTCAGTTATTGGCCTTTTGTTTTCAACGGCAAAATAGGACTGTTTGTAATGTAACCCACTTTTTGCTGCAGCAATCTCTTCCCTCAGAGGGTCTGAACAGCCAGCTTGTCAGGAGGCCAGCAGTTCTGAAATGCATATAACATACACTACACCAAACAACAATCTCTGAAGAGGCGAGAAAAAGATCAAGTCATTAAGCACCTAGCAACTAATTATAAAGAAAAAAACTGAAGATAAGTAAATTATGTGCCAAGATAATTTTTATTTAAATTAACTTCATTTACATTTTATTTTTTAAATATATTTAATTTATTAAGCTATTACAGTTGTCCCAATATTTCCCCTTTGCTTCCCTCTGCCCAGCACCTCTATTCCCCCCCAAAATCCTCCCTTTAGTTCATGACCATGGGTCATGCACATAAGTTCTTTGGCTTCTCCATTTCCTATACTATATTTAACGTTCCCCAGTCTATTTTGTACCTACCAATTATCCTTATTAATCCCTGCACCTTTTTTCTTCCATTCTCCCTCTTCCTCCTCCCAGCTGATAATCCTCCAAATGATCTCCGTATCTATGATTCTGTTCCTGTTCTGGTTGTTTGCTTAGTTCATTTTTAGATTCAGTTGTTGATAGTTATGAATTTGTTGCCATTTTAGTGTTCATAGTTTTGATCTTCTTTTTCTTAAATAGGTTCCTTTAACATTTCATATAATAATGGCTTGGTGATGATGAACTCCTTTAGCTTTACCTTGTCTGGGAAGCACTTTACCTGCCCTTCCATTCTAAATTATAGTTTTGCTGGATAGAGTAATCTTGGATGTAGGTCCTTGCTTTTCATGACTTTGAATACTTCGTGCCAGTCCCTTCTTGCCTGCCAAGTTTCTTTTGAGAAATCAGCTGACAGTCTTATGGGAACTCCTTTGTGGGTAACTCTCTGCTTTTCTCTTGCTGCTTTGAAGATTCTCTCTTTATATTTAACCTTTGGCATTTTAATTATGATATGTCTTGGTGTGGTCCTCTTTGGATCCAACTTGTTTGGGAGTCTCTGTGCTTTCTGGACTTGTATGTCTATTTTCTTTACCAAATTAGGGAAATTTTCTTTCATTAATTTTTCAAATAAGTTTTCAATTTCTTGCTCTTCCTTTTCTCCTTCTGGCATCCCTATGATTTGGATGTTGCTACATTTGGAGATGTCCCAGAGACACCTTATAGTATCCTTTTTTTTTTTTTTTTTTTTTTTTTTTTTTAGTTCTTTTTTCTTCCTGCTCTTCTGGTTGAATGCTTATTTCTTCCTTATGTTCCAAATCATTGATTTGAATCCTGGCTTCATCCCCTCCACTGTTGGTTCCCTGTAGATTTTTCTTTATTTCACTTAGTGTAACCTTCATTTCTTCCTGGGTCTTTTTTGTGTTGTTGCCGTACTCAGTGAGTTCTTTGAGCATCCTAATCACCTGTGTTTTGAACTCTGCATGTGATAGGTTACTTGTCTCGGTTTTGTTTAGTTCTTTTTCTGGGGTTTTGTTCTGTTCTTTCATTTGGGCCATATTTCTTTGTTTCCTCTGTTTGGCAGCCTCCCTTATGTTTGTTTCTGTGTATTAAGTAAAGCTGCTTTTACTCCCTGTCTTAGTAGTGTGGCTTATGGTAGGAAAGGCATCTGTAAATTGTGTGGGGCAGAGGCTTAGGTAGTTGCCAGGTGGGACAACCTGTGTCTTTGTTTTGTGGCTCTGTGTGGGGAGAGGGCTCAGAGAGGGGACAGTGCTGCTGCCTGGCATCTGGAGATTTGCCTGGCACTTGCCCTGTGTGACTGGCACCATTCCAGGTGTTGCCCTAGTGCTGAATTCCAGAGGGGCTAGGTCTGCATACATTTTAAGTCTTTGTGGGCCCTTTAATCAGAGTCTCCTGAAAATCTGGCAGTTTCTCCCACTGCCCCAACCCCCACTGGTTTTTACAGCCAGAAGTTATGGGGATTTATCTTCCCATCACTGGAACCCTGGGCTGTACAGTCTGGCCTGGAGCTGGGATCACACACTCCCAAGGTATTCCTACCGATTTTTATCCACCACACGAATGTAGGACCACCTGTTCCACCACTGTCAACTCTCTGTGCCACACCATGTCTCCATGTCTCTCTGTCTGTCTCTGTATCTCTACCTCTCCTACCTGTCTGGATGAATGTGGCTTCTTTAAGTCCTTGGTTGTTAGACTTCCAGACTTCCATACAGCTCAATTTTCTGATGGTTCTGGGTGTTATTTGTTTGAGGTCTAGTTGTAATTCTTTATGTGGTTGTGTGAGGCCAAGCGTGTTTACCTATGCCTTCATCTTGACTGGAAGTATAATTGCATTTACATTTTTAAAAAAGATTTCATTTATTTATTTATTTTTAGAGAGAGGGTAAAGAAGGAAGAAAGACAGGGAGAGAAACATCAATGTGTGGTTGCTTTTCATATATCCCCAACTGGGGACTTGGCCTGCAACCCAGGCATGTGCTCTGACTGGGAATTGAACCAGCAACCCTTTGGTTCGCAGGCCCGTGCTCAATGCACTGAGCCACACCAACAAGGGCTACATTTGCATTTTAACATACCTTCATTTTCTTGGGCATTCAGTTTAAATATCTCAAATACAAATCACGCCATCATATTTTGAACAGCTAGTATTTGTTACACATAGTTCTAGGTGCTGCAGAGATTTTTGGAAAAAAAAAGCCAAACAGACCTGGTTTTGTTCTTAACATCATGGAACTTATTAATGAGGGATATAAGGTAAATATGATACTAAATATTCTATCACTTTTAAACAAAGTGCCAGGTACTAGTCTAAACACTTTAAATACATTAGTCATTAATTTTCACACCATACCTTGGAAGGTATGTATTGTTAATTTCTACATTTTGCTGGTGATGAAAATGAGGCACAGGGAGATTAAACAACTTGCGTAAGGCCACAAAGCTAACACAGTGGAGATGAGATTGAAATCCAGGTATTCTGACCTCATACTACAAGTTCCTAACTTTTTTAACTGTACTGCCACTTGGAACAGTGAGGCTGCTAACCATTAATAAATATATGGAGTTCTAAAGTTAGTACACACTTACTTCTCAGGAACCACTATACTTTTTTTGCTTGTGAAAGTAACACAAAAGAGCAGGCAGATTTCCACATACTCTAACATTCTTTAAAATTATATGACATCAACAATTTTCACAGGATTCTCTGAACTGTTTTCAGTGAGTGTTTTATTTCTAGACTGTTTGTCAGACTTATATGGAAAACAAGGGTATAATATCACCATAGAGTTTTCTGTTGGTTAGTTTCTTCCTTCATTCAAAAAATGTGTATTGTGCACCTATACTATACCAGGCATTGTGCTGAGAACTAGAAGGGGTGCAAATAAAAGCAAGACACAGTACTTTATTTCCCTCAAGGAGCTGTAATCTCACAGAGGAAACAAGCATCGACAGAGAACCCTAATACAAAACAGGAAATGAGTTGTGCTCAGTAAAGGAATAAAATGCAGTGGAAGTTCCTAAGAGGAGATAGATTACTTCATGAGGGGTGGTGTGTAGGTTAAGGAAAGTGCATAATTATTATATAACTTACTGTTGATACTAAAGTATTGCAAACAGTATAAAATTTATTAAATTCTTTTTTTTTTTTTTTTACAAAGATCACATACAGGCCCTGGTAGTGTGGCTCAGAGGACTGAGTGCTGGCCTGTGAACCAGAGTTGCCTGTTTGATTTCTAGTCAAGGCACATGCCTGGGTCGTGGGCCAGGTCCCCAGTTGAGGGTCTGCGAGAGGCAACCACATATTGATGTTTCTTTCCCTCTCTTTCTCCCTCCCTTCCCCTCTCTCAAATAAATAAAATATTTTTTTTTTAAAAAGATCACATGCAAAGTTCTCATGTTCAGAAAAGACAGATTTATAGTATGTTATAATGATTGTTCAGAGTATGAAGAAGTTAATATGCACAGAATTTTTGAAGATAGTTTACCTTATCTCCTCAAGGTGGTGGGCAGGGCACAGAATAGAACAATAATGCGCAAGAAAAGATTTTCAAGGTCAAAAAAATAGCAAAAGAAAAAGCAAGATGGGGGTGAATAGGGTAGGTATGGAGGCAGCCAGGACTCTGACTGGACAGGGTCAAAAGTTGCTATAGACTAACCTGTCCCACACAGAACTAAGGCCTTTGCAAAATAGACTGTGTTTGTACTATTTATTTATTTATTTTTTGGCATATCCTTTAGTTATAGCAAACATATGCCACAGATATTCTGGGATATCTGTGCCCCAAAATTCTTTTCAATAAGATTGACAAATATGGCCACCATATCCATGTTAGTGTCTAGAAAGTAGTACTATATTCAACAAAGGTTTAGTAAATGAGTTGAGAAAGGT